TTTAACATAATAATATAATAAATAAATATTTTTAGATTAAAAAAGAAATATAATAGGCAGGAATTGAACCCGGGTTGACAGATTGGTAGTACAGAGTGCCCGAGTTACCCGATCTCGACGACAATGAGCTCAACAAGGCCAGTATATAAGGAACGCTGTAAACTTTAAACCGTTTTTCTCAAAAACAACTGAATATTGCGTTCTATCCATTTACTCAAGTACTCTTCTAGTAAAGTACTTTAACATATATAAGTCTTTTTAAAATCGGTGTTCCCAAGTCCGCGTCCTCCTTGTCAGTTATAGATGGAAAAGAGAAAGTTATTGCGTATTATAATAAAATTTTGAGTAAAACGGAGAGGAATCATTGTGTCACTTGTTGCGAGTTGTTAACGATTGTGGATTCATTGAAGAGCTTTCATTATTATTTGTAATATCAGAAGTTTTTAATTAGAATTGACACACATTCTTTCACATTGATTAATGTTTTTTAGGGAATTAAAAGGTCAGGCCTAGAGCTGGAGCATCTTCAACAATATAATTTTGAAATTTATCATTGTGTAGGGAAATTGCATGGAAACGCGAATGGTTTGTTTAGAGAGAGTTCATGTAGAGAGAGTGACTGCAATTATTGCAAGAAGGTACAGAATAAAGAAGAAAAAATTAAAGAAAATTGTTAGGATTAGTTTTGAGAAAAAAAAGTCATTCTAGTCTCTACGCTTACAAAATTTTGTAGTTATTCAAATAATCAATAGAAAAATAAAATAGACATAGATATGATTGAAAACTCATTTGCATTTATTATTTCAATCTTTGAGAAGAAAAAACTACTATTATAATATAGAAATGTGCGCGATTTCAGTTTTTTTAGCCAAATTCATGTGTGTATCGAAAATGCGAATTGCTTCGGCGGCGGGATGCATCTTTTCGTAGATTCAACGGATTTGAAAAATTTGAATAGATTCTTAATTTGCATGTCAATGGCTACCGTCGGAACTAGAATCAATCACTTTTCTGCAAAATTAACAATGGCGGATGTTTTAATGAAAAATAGTGGTTTTTGCTCAATTTCTGACTGGATTTTCTAAATAATTTTTCTAAAAAGTAGGTTAAAATGAATCAATCAACTCGATTCTAGTTCCGACGATAGTCAAAAATATATTAAGTAAGCAGTTGAAATTTGAAATCAACTAGATATATAGTTTCGGAGATTTTTATTCCCAGGTCAGAAAACATTATTTTGAGTAAAAAGCATTTAAAGTTTCGATAAATATTTTTCATACAGTATTCGTTTATATTTATTTGTTTCTTAATCAGCAATTTCAGCTCTATACAGGATATCTTCGACCTCTTTAAAAGCTTATAAAAGCTTTTTATTATAAATACAATAAGTAAGGATGAATCCAATTGCTGTTTTTCACAAAATCAATTTGTGCACTTCTTTGTAAAAATAGCTGTAAAATTCAAAATACTTGGAATTTTTTCATGAAAATTGAACTGCGTTTTTTTGCGATACCGTATTTTCAGAAAATGTAATAAAAAAAATTTGATTTTTAGATCAGAATGACTTCTTATAGAATTAGAAAATAGCACAATTAGAAGATCCTTCGATTATGGACATTATTCAAAGAAAAAATTAAATAGATGTCCTCTTTGACAAAAGATTGCATCAAGAAACGTTTCTTCAAAAATTTATTGGTCACGGTGTGATTTTTTCATTATAAGGAATGGAGTTTTCTTTGTAGAAAATACAATTTCTTTGTAGAAAATACAAATCTCTGGATTTAAAAATACTTGTTATTCAAGTCAATAGTCCCTCTAAAAATGGTAAAACAGGTAAAGAAAACTCATGATTTTCTTTCAGGTGGACACTATAGTGTAAATAAAATTTTCGAAAAGAATTGAAGCGTTTCTCCTGAGCAATCCTGTAAGCAGGACGTGAAGAATTGGGTAAGGATCATAAGTTTATATCGCTAAGAAAGATCCTTCAGGAAAATGAAAGTCTACTCTTCAGATTTATAATTGCTACTCCTTTTGAGAGAATACAGATGGATGTTTAGGTCCATTGTCAATATCTTCTTGTAGTAGGAATTGCATACGAATCAGAAATTATTGAGATTTTTCCAAGAATTAGCTCGATTTTTGAGAGATAAAGGAAACTCGAATTACCTTACTTTAATCTTTACTTTGATTCAACAGTTAAGTGGAGCTCAACATCAGATATTGTTAAATTATATAGCAAAATTGATTTCGGAAAATCAGAAAGAATTTTGGAGGATTCCGTTTCTTTAGGATTGTTGGCGTATAGATCTTCTGAACACGAGATAACTGGTTTTATTCTTTCGAAGTTGTTTTGATAAAAAATTAAGGTTTTCTTTAGCTATTTTTCAAGGCTCCTCCAAGCTAAAAATGTTCTCCAGGAAAGAGGATTTTTATTTACATTAAAGGAGAGATTGAATCATATCTATAACGTTGTAAGTCGACATATGGATTTATAGTCTAGAGATCAAAATTAAGTTTTGATCGGAAAGATAGGCAGTTATGTTTTGAATCAGAACAAAAACTTTTGTTTTATAATTCTCAAAGGATACAAGATAGGACATTTAAGTTACAAAATAATTGAGAGAGATCTTATAAAGTGATCAGAAAATTGAGTGATGTAGTCTATTATATACGAAAATCGAGTAAATACAAAATAAGGTTCATTTAGATACGATGTGTTATTCATTTTCAGAAATCGATAAGTTAAAAAAGATTTTCTTTATTCTTTTAAATAATTATTAGTATGATTTTTATTTTTTTTTTAAGTTTACTGTGAAGACTTAAAGGAGAAAGATCTTCTTCCTTTGAAGCCCAAACATCATTCTAAAAAAGATTAAATTTGCTTAAAAGATTACTTTGCTTACGGGTTTTGACTGTAGTTTTCCCGTTTGGCATGAGGCGAATACTGTGACACGGACTAGAAAAGTATCGAGATACTTGTTGGATCCACAAAAATAATTCCTCCCTCTCCCCTTTGTCCGATTCAAGATAGAAGCACGCAAGACATAAAACGTAGAACGAAAAAAAGAAAGGAGAACAGATTTCTGCAGCGGCAACTTTCAGGACGGCAAGATTAAGATGCTGGTAACCTATAGCAGCTCGAGATAGAGCAGGAAGCCATCGAGTGCCTTGAAGTCTTCGTCGGGGAACAGGAGTGAGATCTTTTTTGCGAAGTTCCTTGGAATTGTCAGAACGACAATTTCAAAAAAGATGAGAACAGAGTTACAATCGAGCGATGATCCGTTCGTCGCTCCCTCCCCTCTTCTATGAATATTGATTAACAGAAAGAAGATCGTTTTCTACCGATGCGGTTATTGTTTTGAAGATTTTGAAAGTGAGGGAACTGCAAAACAGTTCCGTAATCATTTTGTGTAATCTTTATCAATCTTTATCAACAGATTGCTGTTAATAATTATTTTATTCCTTAAATCACTCTTATTTATTTCGGAAATGAATGATGCGAAAGTGAGCGAGAGTGAATTATGCACGAGAGATCGTCGCGAGCGCAACAATATGAAGATCATTGTTTAAACTGAACCATATAGTTTCCTTTGCACAATATAAAATTTTAATTACTCTTCATATAACTATAATAAAATAAGAAAATAGAAAAATTAATAATTTACAAGATGCTTTATACTTTATGTCAAAATATATTAAATTAAAATATGAAATATCTTGTAAATTATTCTTTTATACAAGATACCAGTGGGAATGTGTTGAAAGTAAATGGTTATCCCATATCTCCATGTTTCGGCGACTGTTTTGATGATTAGGATTCGCTACCTGAGACCTGTCAATTTTGTTTGGATCGTTATACAGATCGTTATACAATTTGCGAATGGCAAGATGGACGCGCTAAGCATAGAAGAAAAAGTGTATCTCATCGAGTGTTTCTGCACTAGAAGCAAAAACTACAGCAGCGTATTGTGGTTTCAGTAAATTTGGATCTAAAAAAGTTTCAAGCGAAACTATATCCAAAAGATATGTTTTTGATATTTTTTACCCATCTTTCCTTTCCGTAAAATCGCGCCTAACCACTATTATACTGATTAAATGAGATTTTATTTATTCTTTGATGTTTTTCCGCAGGATTATTAATAATTTTACTATATACAGCATTTTGAATGATCGTCGACACGGTTTAGCCAGTCCATCTCGTATCATTACAACGGAAGAAACAATTGATGACGTTAAAATATATTTTGACGAAAATTCAAACACCTTAATTCGAAAAGTTATTTAGGTTTTAGATTTAAAGTAAGAAATTCTCTGAAAGATTACGAGAGATTTAATTGTATTGCACAGAGCTAATAGAGAGTATTCAAAAATGTACTCGCAGCATTCCTACATCCAGATAATGTTAGATAATGTAATTCAAAGTTTTTGAAAACGATTGCAGTTTTGTACTGATTCTGAAGGACAACACTTCGAAACACTTCGAAAATATATACTATTGATTCATATCTGCAAACGAATTTTTGTCGTTTTTTTTATAATATATGTTTCAATTATTAACTATAATCTTTTTTCATATATATGGTAATAAATTTGACAAGTTTTTTTCTATAAAATAGCGTTGGATTTATTTCGTCCGGTCTATCTGTTGCGAAATAATAAACATTTAGTTTCAACATATTCCTATTGATCACTTTATATATGCATATCTTACTACTGTTATGCGTAGAAAAATTATATTAAGCAAAAGAATCAGTAAATTCTATTCAAGAAATAAAATATAATTCTTTTATTATATAATTTAATTTTTACATAATAGAAAAGTTAACTCTTTTAGAATATTTTACTGTGATTTCATTATAACTTTACTATAATTTTACTATATACTATGTATTTTACTATGACTTGTACTCTTTCAAATTATTTAACTTTCATCTACATTTTTATCTATAGAATTTAATATAGAAATATTTGGTTGTGTATAAAATGGAACACTCTTATATGGATTAATGTTAAAGTTGTATTTATTTTAAGAATATATCGAAGAATATCACTCTATTCTATATTACTAAAATTATTAATACAATTAAAAATTTCATTACATAATCCGGAGCCTATCACGTAACATTAACAATTAAAAAAATATTCATTAGTAATTATTAAAAAACATGCCGGCAGCGAATCTTATGTTTACATATGAAGATTTTGTTGATAACCTTCGACTTCATTGTACATTTTCCTGATGGGATCTTTTGGCAAATAGTTGTGCATCGTTGCTATGATTTTACTGTTGCCGGATAAAATGCCATTAGATAGGTGCGCTATATCATTTTGCATATATGTTGTTCCATTTGTGAAGCCATTTTGATGATCCTTATGATCAATATGACCATTTTGGTGAATATGCTTCATATTGTTCAATACACTATTAGAGGTAGTATCTCCTCCTAAAAG